ATCCTATCCGAGAAGAGTGTTAGATACGTCAGCATAGACGGAGACGCTGATAGAGTGGTGTATTTTTACATAGATGGAAATAATAAATTTCATCTTTTGGATGGGGATCGAATAGCAACGCTAGTGGCCGCTTACTTCAAGGAATTATTGGAAACGAGTGGTTTATCCTTACAATTAGGCTTGGTGCAAACCGCATATGCCAACGGTGGTTCAACCGATTATATTTCGAATATCTTAAAAGTTCCAGTGGCGTGTGTGCCAACTGGTGTGAAGCATCTGCACAAGAAAGCGCTGGAATTTGATATTGGAGTCTATTTCGAGGCAAACGGACATGGAACCGTAATCTTCAAAAATACTACTAAAGAAGCTATCAAGAACCAAATTAAGAACGAAATGCTTTCAACGACACAAAGAGTGGCCTCTTCAAAGCTGAGGGATGTAATCGATTTAATAAACGAAACGGTTGGCGATGCCTTGAGCGATATGTTACTAGTCGAGACTATATTACACGCCAAGGGCTGGAATGTTATCGAGTGGGAAAAAAGTTACAACGATCTTCCGAATAAGCAGCTCAAAGTCAGAGTGAAGGATAGAAATATTATAACAACAACGAATGCAGAAAGACATTGCTTGACTCCTGTTTGCTTACAAGAAGAGATTGACAAGATCGTCTTGAAATATTCAAGAGGTCGAGCTTTCATTAGGTATGTCTTTTGATATAAAAGTTTTAGTGAGGCTTTGAAGTAGTTTTCATTCATCAGAAGCTTATTGAAAAATCTTAGACATAAAAATTATCATAATAGATTAACTGATTTTCTTTTCAGACCTTCTGGAACTGAAGATATCGTCCGCGTTTATGCGGAATGTGAGAGTTCGTCAGATGTTAACAAACTAGCTGTGGAAGTAGCTTCACTCGTGTACAGACTTGCAGACGGTGTTGGACCAGAACCCAGTTTATCATGAACTTACATCATACTCAAATATTATGTTGAGTTGTTATATTGAGTAGTAAAAAAAGTTCTGACCCTTTTAAAATGATTTTTATAATACACAAATTTATTCAGAAATAACGATAATTAATAATCATTTTTGGAGGATAATTCATAACTATTTTTTCTAATTAAATACGTGAGAAAATGATTCTCACTAGAAGAATTCTATTCGCTATATGTTGTTTCAACTAAATAAAGGTTGTTATAAATAAAAATAACAAAGTATAAATACTTTCACTGATAAAATATCTAATATACAATCAGCTAAAAATGAAAATAATATTAATATTAGATAATTTATCGATTGAAGTATTATATTTTTATCACTAAATGATTTTATACGTAGTAGAGCCTCCAGCTTATATAAAATAGTAAAAAATAAAATTGATTATAAATCGTGTCTGCATATATTATTTGGGTTCCAATATAAAAAAGAAAATATGTTATGAAAAATTATACTACAGATATCTCATTAAATATATTAGCAAAAATTGAAGAGTTCATTCAATGAATCATTAAAAAAGAATTAGATTATTTTATTGTGCCATATTGTTTGAGCATATATTGTAGACACATTATAGCTTTACTCGTTTTATAAATTTATTTTGTTAGTATTAGTACTATTATAGTATATATTATTACTATTATAGTATACTATATATAATCAGTTTATCTCTAAAACTAATGCTAGACACAATTTTCAATCGCATATAATCTGGCATTGGCTTTACGGAGAAGTGATGGGATAGAAAAAATAAATTTTGCATATTATATATGCTTAATGATGTTCGTTTTAAAATAAAAAATACGAGACAAAATATTCTAATTTCATATAATTTTTTGCATATATTTATATTTTTCCATTTTAATAAAAATCATATTAAAATATTCAGACTCAATTTTCTGTCTTCCTTTATTATATATACATTTTTTAATAGACAGATATAATAATAAAACTATTAATTATGAGACTAGTTTATAACTAGTTAAGTAAATATTTTTATTACCTTTGGCAAGATTAAGGACAGGATTAAAGACAAAAAAACTTAAATATTGCTAAAATTTTATTATCTTTAAAAAAATGAATTACCTTATCATGTTATAGTTAACTAACAAAACATATTTATATATTGCATAAAAAAATGTATATAATTGATAGTAATTCCATACTTTATTTCTCTGTACTTTCTTCTTGTTACAAGCAGCCAGGAATAATTATCCATTCTTCTGCACATCTAACTCTCGTCTCCCAAACGAGCAAACGAGTTCACTGATAGTGAATGCTTCTGAGGATTATTAGCAGTTCCCATTGAGTTCATCTCAATGTCCATCAGTCATTTGTCTTCATCCCGTTTGTAATCTATTAAAAAAATTATTTTATTATATGGAAACGTACATGAAATATCCCACAATAGTGAGCAAATAATGAAACTAGCTTATTATATATTTGTATGAACGCCAGATAAAATCGATGCTGATCAATTATTAAACAATTAGTGAAATATCTGTATATTATATACTTCACTTTCTTTTCAATTGACTTTACATGATTTTATTAACTTGAATCTGAACGCGATGTGAAATCAAGAGTACACATATATTTTATATTGATAAATATTTCATAAAATGAGTGCACTTTTTTGGGGAGTATAACAAGAGACATAACATTTCAATTGAATAGTTAATAGGAGCGCTGTACAGGTCGACAATTTGAGAAAATTTTTTACGACGTTCTTCCATCAACATCAAGTTATTCCGAGGACATAACGGCGTGTATTACAATTACGCCATTACGTGGCGCTTAGTTTCGCGAGATACGAGCGAAATTTTAAAATTTAATCTGCGGAACGAGATTCGGCGGTGGTAACGATATTCAAACAAACAATTCGCAAATTGCGGTGGCAAAAGTTAGCAAGAAACCAGCATTCTTTTCAATTCACGCATCGCATTCGTTTTTGCCTTGCGCTCTAATTCCATCTCATAAAGCATCGATACAAACGCGTAATTTAGAGAGATCCGTGAGATTTCGAGAGATGCAATATATCAATCTATTTTCAATTTGTTAAAAAAGTTAGATTACAATAATCTTTCATTTCTTGAGTTGTCAAATATATCTGATATCATTTAATATTAAAGTACAATTTGATATTTAACACAAACTAATATTAATCTCGTAATGCAAAATTTTATAATTTATTAATTATAAAAATTTAATTATAAATTTATTAATTTTATTATATAAAAATCATTGTGTGAACCATAAATCTATAAAAGAGATAACAATACATTTCTTTAATCTAATTCCCTAATAATTAAGTAAAAGAAAAGAAAGGAGAATAAGAAGCATTCAAGCAAAAGAATAAATAATGTAGATTCGTTTTTGATTGAGATCTGAGTGGATAGTTGTATTAGTTGCATCTTAACAAGAGTCGCTTTATGTGTGTATAAGATAGAGATGGAATTAGAATCAATGCGCTTTCTGTCGCAATGCGCAACACGCCGAGAGATCATCGAGAAGAAAATCGGCCGCTTTCTTTACACGCGCTTTGGTAATCGACGGTTTTTTTTTCTTTCGTTTAACAGCTTTATGTTTTGTTCGACCGGACATTCTCCATTCGCACTTAGGTGGAAAACACTGATATAAATAGGTGATAGGATTCCTTTCCCCCCTTGAGAGATAGGCGCTCTGGGTTTGTCTCAATAGATAAAATATAAAGGTTCGCACGCGTTAAACATACCTTTTCCTGGTTAAATTCAAAGCACGCCAAGCTTTGAGCGCAAACGCAATTTGTGGCGCATTATCCACATATCGCAGGTTGCTTTATTCGCTGATCGTCGCATCTACGGGTAGCCACGCATAGCGAATAATCGTCGTAATCGGTTTCTTCAATAATCGCAGGTCAACAAGCCGCCGCCACCAGGGTAACGTGTTCGACAATCGCGTTCATCGCACGGTCATTCACAAACCGGCGTTTCTCACAGTACAGGCCTAACTAAGTAAACTGCACCAGCTGGAGATTGATTTGGCGTTCTGCATTGTCATTGAATTTTTTATGTTCGATCAATTTTTCGACATTTCACAAAATTTTCCATATTTTGAAATACATAGAACATTCTTACATTTACCAATATTATTACTATTAATGTACAAAGAGATAATAATTACATGTTATTGTTAGACTGTTCTAGAATTCAAGATTACAATGCATAACGTCGTCGAATTAAGAATATTAAAGAGCATAATTGCACGCACGCTGATTATTAATAATCTATGCTTTTGGCTTGCTCTGCTCGCTGCTACGAATGACAGTTGATGTATTAGATGGACAACTAGTATTCTACTCCGATGTTACTGCATAAGTTGATGGTTTCTTCTATGGAGTAATTGAGTCACGTAAAGATTGCATACTTTAATATTGATAGTATAAAAAAAAACGATATAAAAAAAATAGACATAGAGAAAAATAAAAATGAAATATCTTTAGGTAAAAATGACTATTTTCTTACATGAATGATGTTGAAAATAGATGATAGATCTTTAATGAAATAATGTTTTAATTGTATTTAATATAATGGCATACAATTGGTAAATAATTAAATTTAATGATAATTTTGCGCACAGAAAGACTGCAAGAAGATGAATTATATTACATTATTAGAAAAATTTTTTTTTTATAAAGATTGCTTTAGGGCATTCACATTTGCACTTTATTGGTTTTATATAAAGGTACATTGTGATAATTGCTATTCTTTGCTTTATGAATGAACATTTGAAAATATTATTCAAGTTCTTATGTGTAAAAAACGATTATACAGCATCATTATTGTAGCATAAGTCACCTTTTGTAGAATTAATACTAAGCACTATAGGATATAACAAAATCATATATACGCTACATTGTAGGCAGTTAGAGCATTAAATCGAGCAAAATGTTAAACCCACACTTAGGTAATACCGGAATTTATCTATTTATAAAAAAGGGAGCGAGGAAAAAAATTACGAACATAAACTCCATGAATAATGTAATGTCGAAAATTTTCTTTAAACATACAATAGGCTAACAGCAGGTTTACCAATAATAAATTGATTAATTGATCAATTCATATATGAACTCATTAATAATGTACTTGAAAAAAAAATTGAATTTAAATTCAAATAATTGTTTATATACTCTCTATTGATATCCTCCTTATTCTTACCGTACTTTACGATACAACTAAACGTTAAGTTCTATTGTAAGTTTTATATAGTTTTCATTATAATTATCGTGGACTCAACGACGAACGCAGACGGCAATTCCTAGGTAATCGAGTCCGATAAGCGAGTGATCGCTGCTAAAAGGCTGATCTTTTTTTTATCGGTTTTTGTTTTTTTCGGTCGCCTTTCGCATGCGCTAGTGCGTTTAGTACATGTTTAGTACCTCGGTGGCATTGCGTCTGCCGGACCTGGGAAGCTAAAAGGTCAAAAAATGAAAAATCGCAGAATTAATTACGTGATCGCCTTGCTATGCAAGGAGCAAGAAGAAAGTATAAGATGTAACACTGGCATGCGCGATCATCACGAGACACATTCTGTGATACGGATCGAAATTGTAATTCCAACGGCATGATAATCGTATACTTAAGGAAGCCTTGTGGATGTTTCTTTCTTTCTTTCTTTTTTTTTTGGTTTCACGTCGCAGCGCATATAACGCAGATTTATTGTGAAACACAGCTACCAGATCTGGGCGTTCTTATCGTTCCATTATCCGATTATTAAATTTAGTCAACTTATATATTTATTCATAAATTGTTCCGCTAAATTTTTTTTAGTGATAAAATCGGAATTTCATTGCTTGTAAATAATGAATACAAATTTTTACAGTACATTATGGCAAAATATTATATATATAAGCATTTTAAGGAACAATTCAATTTATATGAAAATATAAATTCGTAACGCTTAAAATGATGAGAGCAAAATTCATACTCAGTTCTGGTTAACTGTCATACATGTCAGAAGCTGGTCGACACGCCGCAATTGTGCATCATCTCTCCGTGCATCGCCGCAAGTGCATTTGGAAATTGACTCGAACTCCGTGTAGAACAGAAGAGTCTCAAGTCTCACGATGTCGAAAAACCTTTTATCGGATGTTCGCCATAGGCGCATGGTTACAACGCATCTTTTTTTTCTCGTTTCTCGAAACACCGACATTGAATTGGGAAAGTGTCTCAGAAAGTTCTTAGAGAACAGAGGCAAATGCGAAAGACGTGCGTTTGTAGTTTCGCAGACTGCAATTTTGCGATGCGCAGAGGCGCAGTGTGTTCGCGGTCAGTTTGTATTCGCGATGAACGTGCGGTAGATGTGCAAGGTCGGAGATTCCGTCTTCTTTGAGATGTGTCTCTACGGACTGCAAAAATTTGAATTCATCTTTTGCACTGCGGAATTGCTCGCAAAAGTCAGCCATGTAACCGGAGATATTTTTTTCTCGTATTTACGGGAGAAGTTTCCGCCTTTCCGAGCGCATCTCGCCATTACGGAATTGCCGCAGGCTGATCGCATAGCGCATCGTGAACGGACGTGCTCGAGAATCTTCATTGCGGAGTACGTAAAAGAAGAGAGGTGATATATCACAAATATACTGATGTCGTGGCAACAAGTCCTCCAATTGATGTACATAATTTTTTTTCACGAAGTAAAAAAACATTATTTAATCTACAAAAGATTCCAAATTTATTCATAAAAATTTAAAAATTTTTTCTCAAATAATTTTTCTTTTACCTTTATTTATTATATAAATATCAAAACGTTATTGCAACTAATTGAAATGAAATTAACTTAGAATATATGTCGAATACTTGAAAAATTTCTATGTAATATATAAAAATTATAAATATATGTATAAAATGCAGTCATTAATTTCACGTGTGGTCATTTAGATTTAATTTAGATTTGCGAGACTTTCAGTCATGCGAGATTTTCAGCCTCTGTTCTCTTTTACACTCATAAGATAGAAACGTCGGCTTCCAATAAATTTATCAATAAAAGCAACAATTTCGTAAACGCAAAACGGCACCGTACACGGCGAAAGTAAACGCTTCCGTACATGGTCGAGTGTCGCGCTAAGTGTCACACCTTATACTTTTACAGAAATATTCAACCTGCATCGAATCCGCATATATAGAAATTGCATATGTATTACATATAATCGAGGCAAGAACGAGGGTGGCGTATATAACGCAAAGAAGAGTAAAAACGCCAACTGACAAGCATACGCATATGGATTCTCTTCGCTTTTCAAACGTGTGTTACTTTTCATAACCGCAGTTTTATCAATGAGACAGATAAATATTATATATAAGGTAAAGTTAAGAAAGTGCAACTTACCGTCCGCCGCCACGTGGAGGACCATACGCATCGGGTCTGTCATATCCTTCGGCATAGCTGCAACATAAAATACCGTTTTCCACACGGAAAGAAAAAAAATAAGATTCTATCCAAAACTTTAGTCGCAAACTAAATGTTTCCTCTCCATCGTTTCGTTGAGCGAGATAGAAAGAAAACAAAAAAAGAACAGACACTAAGCAGAATTCGTCTATAGTTTTGTTTTTTCTGTTTCGTTCAATGAGACAATGGAGAAATGGGAGCATTTAACTCACAAGTTGGATGTTGAATAGGCCTGTTTTAGAAAGATGTTTTGTTACGATTTGCAACTCACCCGCTAGCAACTGGTGGATATCCGCCACTGGGCACGGCACTGCCAGGTCTTCTACTAAACATATCAGCTTGTGGTCCTGGACCAGTGCTGTAACTAGGTGCCCCTGTGCTGTAGCTAGGTCCAGTGCTCATTGGCCTGTCAAATGGATGCATATCATTACCAGGAGGACCGTCCCTCACTCCGTAGGCCATTGAAGCTCCCTGATTTACCCACCCAGGCCCACCCATCATATTCCCTGGCCCACCCGGATAATCCCTGTCGTACATAATTTAATTCTATTAACTTATTTTTATTCTATCCTGAGTGACATTTAATATTTTTGTTTTATATTATGTTAATAATATACTATTATTTATCTTTTGTTACAGAAGCAACAATATTTTATAATACATATCGTTCAATTATTTAAAAAATTTTTTATTTTATGTATTTGAAAAAGTCTCTCAGGTTGAAATAAAAATAAAATATAACGATAACAGTTTAAACAAAGCAAAGCTCATTTGTGAGCTCTGTAAACTTTATTGAACTGTCAATTATAAATGTATTCGTACCCATATTTTTAGTGAATCTAATGTACGAATAAACTTAATATAATAAAAAACTAATTGATCAAAATCTCAGAGATCTAAATTATTTTATAATATAATTATTTATAATATAATTATTTAATAATAACACAAAACTTAAAAT